GCACTTATCAAAAACAATGTATTTTGCTGTTTCCTTATTTTAAATATTACACATAATAAGCCACATATAATGGCAGGATTGAAGTAACTCAAGTTCTATTCCTCAGACACTACATTTGCTGTAGGATTGTTTATGTTAAATCTGTTCTTGAAATGTAGGTATTTATATTTAGGGATTGGAGGCACAAGGTACACTCAAAGTGAGCGCTAAAGATTCTGATCCTGACTAGGCACAGTGGCTCATGCCTGTAATCCCAACACTTTGGGAGGCTAAAGTGGGCAGATCATCTGAGGTCAGGAGTTTGAGACCAGCCTGGCCAACATAGTGAAACCCCGTCTCTACTAAAAATGCAAAAAATTGCCAGGATTGGCAGCATGCACCTATAATCCCAGCTACCTGGTAGGCTGAGGCACAAGGATTGCTTGAACCCAGGAGGAGGTGGAGGTTACAGTGAGTCGAGATTGTGCCACTGAACTCCAGCCTGGGCAACAGAGTGAAACTCTGTCTTCAAAAAATAAAAAATAAAAAAAATATTACTCTCAAAATAAATACATTTAGTTGAGTCTTCGTGTGAGACAGACAGAGAGACAGTGACAGAAAAGCAGAGATATTAGGAGGACAACACAGAGTCTTTTCAATGATTTTCCACACAGAAAAAAAATAGTAAAGAAAAATAAAAATGTGCTAATTTGAAAATTGCATCTGCTTTGTTAAAATTTCAGCAATAATAATTTTTTATAATTTAGAACAATAATTTTTTTTCAGATAGAAGCATTTTATCACTAAGCACATGACAGTAATAAAAAGCAGAAATGCTTTTATTCTGGCTTTATCATTGTTTGAAAACATCTAATGACGACGCACTGCTTACTGTTTACTGCCGAGCAAACTCTACCCATCGCCGGTCCTTGGCATGCCACTCAGTAGAGGTCAGAGAATCTCCTTTCTTCCAATCCAACAGAATCCTAATCAGGGAGAAAAATGACCAATTTCTTTTCTCCCTCCCTCCCTCCCTCCCTCTCTCTCCTCCTTTCTCTGCCAAGCAAACTTTACCTATCACCTGGTCCTTGGCATGCCACTCAACAGAGGTCAGAGAATCCCCTTTCTTCCACTCACCAACCAGGGAGAAAAATGACCAATTCCTTCCTTCTTTCCTTCCTTCCCTCCCTCCCTCCTTCCTTCCTCCCTTTTTTTCTTCCTTCTTCCTTCCTTTCCCTTCCTCCCTCCTTCCCTCCCTCCCTCCCTCCTTTCTTCCCTTTCTTCCTCCCTCCCTCCCTCCTTCAGATGGAGTCTTGCTCTGTTGCCCAGGCTGGGGTGCAGTGGTACAATCTCGGCTCACTGCAATCTCCGCCTCCAGGGTTCAAGCAATTCTCCTGCCTCAGCCTCCAGAGTAGCTGGTATTATAGGTGCGCACCACCACATCCAGATAATTTTTTTTTTTGTATTTTTAATAGAGATGTGGTTTCACCATGTTGGTCAGGCTGATTTTGAACTCCTCCCAAAGCTCTGCGATTACAGGCATGAGCCACAGCGCCCTGCCTGATCAATTTCTAATATAAGGTTATTGCATTTGTAACTTTGCATATTATTCCACCCAGTTAGGATAGAAAGACTGTAGCATAAATCCTATAACCTCAGAGGCCTGGGATAACATTGAGGCTGCCTCAGAAAGTACAGGTAGGCTTAGGACTTTTCTTTGACATAGGGACACCAGTTAGAGAATTCTTACAGAAGCTGACTGCATTCCAAAGTCCTCCCTGAAAGTTATCCAGCTTTGTTAAACATTATCTGGTACCTCTTATACTTCCTTATTCCTCTCCCAAGTAAGGTGAATTCAAGATATCCAATTGTGCTCACTTTTTCGTGGACCTCATGGTCTTTCCAAATAAGCTCAGTCATAAGATGTTTTGGATGTAGAAAATGGCCTAAGAATGGTCCAATTTAACACTCAGGGGTTTGGGCCAGAGACAAGTCATGCAGACTTAAAGTAATGCTTATGTATGCTATAATGCCAGTGGCCATTAGGTAATACCCCATGCCTGGGTGGACTTACACAGACTTGACTTTGCTTTCTGTAGATGGCACTGATCCATTACTAACATTTTGGATGTCAACAGTCAGGATTAAACTATGCCAAAGCATATTTCACCCCCATAAAAAAACTACTTGCAAGGCTGCATTCCGGATGTTTCTAATAAAGTATAATGTGATTACCTCTTTAAAATAAATCTGTGACTAAATCGTTCAGAATTTTATGACTGGGGTTTTTTAGTTTCTAACTCTTGTGTTAGGATTGGTCTAACAAAAATGAAAGACTGAATATATATATGGACAATGACCAGATCATATATGGTAAAATATGAAAAAAGACAGAAAATAGTCTTAGTAAAAACCACTGGTTTGGATTTGATTTTGTATGTGTGTTGTATGTCTTCTGCTCTTTGTCATTAAAGACTAAAGCCTAATTAGAATGAAAAGTAAACTGAACAATAACACACTACTGCTATCCCTACTGCTAATTATAATAATCACCAAAATTTTGAGTGTTTACTGTATGCGAGACACTGTTCTAAGAATTTTTTATTCAACTCAATCCTAGAAAAATACTTATGAGGTTGGTATCACTTATTACAGAATGCCAACCTACAAGTTTTGTGACAAGGATCTCACAACCTGAGAAGTCAAACCACAGCCTCTGGAGCAATCAGCTTAAAAGGCCAGGAGTTGGTCAGGGGACTGCCAGCTTCTCTTCCCCCTCCCCAACTCAGGGCCCACCTGAGAAAGCCCTAAACCAATCATACAAGGAGCTGTCCTTCTAGATGACCTGCCTCCAGCTCCTCCATGCCAATATGCTCCAAGCAGAGCACAACTAAAGCCTTTTTCTTCCCACTATTATTAAGTATAATTGCATGGGTCAGAGTTAAACAAGCAAGGAAAACTTTATTCAAGACTACTGCATTAGAGGCCAGATGTGGTGGCTCAAGCTTGTTATCCTAGCACTTTGGGAGGCCAAGGCAAGTGGATAATTTAAGGCCAGCCTGCACATGACAAAACCCCATCTCTACGAAAAATTAAAATAAATAAAATATTCTGGTGTGGTAGCATGCACTTATACTCTCAGCTACTCGGGAGGCTGAGGCAGGAGAATTGCTTGAACACAGGAGGCAGAGATTGGGTTGCAGTGAGTCAAGACTGTATCACTGTCCTCCAGCCTGGACAAGAGCAAGACCATCTTGAAAAACAAAAACAAACAAACCAAACCAAACAAAAAAAGGATTGCAACTGAAGAAAGAGATTAAACTCCAATTCTTTGAAACAAAAGGTGGGAACACTTTAAGCATTAAGGTGATAATGTTAGAAGGGACATTGGTCAATGTGACTATGTCATAAATGTTTGCTGATTGGCACTTTGAGAGGTTGGGCTTCCACCCTCTCAGAGAGACTGAAAGTTAGAGACGTCTGCTTTTGTTTGTTTGGGTTTTTGTTTTTTTGGTAACTACATTTCAAAGGGATGGCTCCTAGATCCTTAAGAAAGACTTACTAGGATCTTTCTTAGATTTATAAAGGAGCAGAGAAATAATTTACAATTGAAAGTCTTCTAAAGTGAATGCTCTAAGAAAAGGGAAGTCAGGGACCTACAGTCAAGAAGCTTATCTAAAATTTAGCAAAACTGAGGAACTGGTAAGATCATCTTGGTCACTATAAAACTTTTCTATTGCCCTGCCTGCCTTCGCTTCTGGCTAAGCACAAATGATGTTGGCTGACTCCCTTACTATACCAAGCTCTGCAAACACTGCCTCTATTTATTCTACTTTTGGGAAGGCTGCAGTCTCCTCAAAGTTCTCTTGTTCTCTTTTAACATTAGAAATCTAAGTTTGAATTTGGTTAATTCCTTGCTTTGAAGATAACTAAGTCTTAATGTTTCATTTGTGACTATTGGCTGCATAATGCCTGAAAATCAATCACAACTCCTTAGTCTCTCCAAAGTAATCTGGACTTTGTTATCTTCAACTAGAAAAGTAAATTCACAGATTTGCCCTCCCTAATTACAGAGCAAAGTACTGACTGCAGTTACAGAGATGTCATGGTGTTCAGGAGTCACAGCCTTGTTTACTTATCTGAATCAGTTGATTCAAATTCTGGCTCTACCTTTTCCCCACCCCTTACAATTCATCATAAGTGGCTGAGGAGTCCTGACTCAGCCTGTAGAGGTGTTGCAATTGTGCAATGTGTTAATGACTTCCTGACTTTTCACCCTTACAAGAGTTTTTGAGAATGTATTATTTCATATTCCTAGATAATTAAATAGTCACATTTCTGAAATAGTTTGAAATCCAATGATGAGTCAATCGCTCATTGGGACAAACTTTAAAATATTAAGGCTCTTTAAAAAGACACTATAAAGCTTCATAGAGATCTCTTTGTCAATTTACCAATTCGTATCTACTATCTTTAACTCTCCTATTATCTTTAAATGTTTTCAAATTTCTACAAATTATTATCTTCATGACATTGTTAACAACAGGGAATACAGAATAAGTAAACTTTTTAGTTTTGGTAAGTGACAAAATAGAATACAGAACTAAATATGAGAATACGTCAATGTTTCTCAAACTTTAATGTGAATCATCCAATGATCTTGACAATGCAGATTCTGATTCAGCAGATTTGGAATCGAGCTTGAGATTCTACATTTCCAAACGCCTTCTTGGAGATGCCCGGGTTGCTGTTTCACAGAAAACATCTTGAGTAGCATATGTGTGTTTATATAAAGACAATACTGAGAAAATATACAGAGGTTACATTAATACTACTTTATATAGTTTGTGCTTAGAAAAATGTATGTACATATGTAGGTATATACACATGAAAATATAATAAAATAAAGCCATATTTGGCTGGGCAAGATAGCTGAGGCCTATAAGCCCAGCGTGTTAGGAGTCCAACGCAGGAAGATTGCTTGAGTCCAGAAGTTTAAGACTGGTCTGGGCAACATAGCAGTGCACTATCTCTATAAAATAAAAACAAAACAAAACAAAACAAAAAACTCATACTTGAAACATGCCAAATATTAAAAGAGATTTGGGGTTATCTGTACATTTTTGTTTCTCTAATAATAATTTTCTTTTTCTTCTTATTTCCCCAATTTTATGCAGTGTGTATAACTTTTTATTAAAAGAAAAAGTTGTTTTTTTTTTTCTTTTTCAAAGCAAAGAGCCATGTCAAGTTTTATCACCACACACTGGTAACGTCCACCAAAAATAAGTAGCAAGTCAAATGTAATTATTCCCGAGAGGAGATGATGGCTGTAAACAAAGAGTTTTAAGAGAGTGTGACACTTGCCTGATCCTGGTGGCTATGCAATTCTGACATTTGTCTTCCGGTCACTGGAGTGGCTTCTGGAAGTCTTTGATGTGGTTCATCCACCAAACACAATTTTAGATAATCTTATTTTTCAGTGGAGTAGAGGTAAGATCGAACAGCCAAGGCCCAGCCATTCTCACAGATTTCTTAGTGTTGAGGATGCCAATTCACTTTTGGATGCATTCCCAGGTCACTTGTAAATGGGTTAAGATTTCTCAGGCTCTTCCCATGACAGGGTTCTGCTTGGGTCAGGAGCACCTGTGAAGCAAATTCAACAGTATTTCGACTTACTATTTTTTTGTTTCCAGTAAGAAGGGAATCTATAAAAATGTTGTGGGCAATTAATAGGGAAATTGAGTAAGTGCTTTAAAAATAAATTTTCATTGCTTGGAACACTGTGAGGAAAAGGAAAAAACATCGCTTAAAATGAACTCAAATATATTTGGTTTAAAGGAGTTAAGCTAACTTGACTAAGTGCATTTTTGGCTGAAAGACAAAATGAAAACAAATTGTGTCTATTCTGCTTCTCTAGACAACAGGGTATCAGATTTAAAATCCCAGAGGGAAAACAAACTAGCCTGACAAATCAAAGAAAGTATTCAAAGTTATCTGCCCAGACTCAGTGGTATGTAAAATCTTTTCATACCACTTAGTTCTGGGCAGAAGGGAGCTCTGCTCAAACAACTAAGGTACATATGCTTTGTTAAGCATGGTATACCTTAGTTCTTTGAGCCTTAGCATGAGTCCCTACACAAGATGTGAATGTCATTTCTAAGGAATTTAAGAAATATACTTGCTGATCTATTAAAGGTTGGGAAAAGCTAGAAATAAGTCCTTTCTTTCAGGAGTACAGAAGTCTTACTAAAAACCACTGGTTTGGCTTTCAATGGATTTCTTGTGTTATACAATTTCTGCTCTTTGTTACTAAATAAAACTAAAGCCTAGTTATGATGAAAAGTGAACTACATAATAACCATGCTAGTAATAAAAATGTAACTAACTTCAAGCATTTATTGTATGACAGGCAGGGTTCTAAGTATTTTCATTTAACTTAATCCTCTCTATGAAGAGATACGAAAAAATTCTATGAAGTTGATACGATTTATTGTCCCCACTTAATAAATCAGGACACAGAGGCACACAGAGATAAGGCACCTTTGCCCAGGAACACACAGTTAATAAGGAGGTAGAGCCAGTTTGAACCCAAGCAGCTGAGTTCCAGAGCTTGCCTCCAGAGAAGGCAACTGAGGGATGCTACTTACCATTTTTGGTTATGAGAGAGACTTTTTTTGTTCTCTATATTCAATGATCAGTCACCTGGGGCATGTGATGATTCAACCAAATTAATAAACTCAGGTCTGAAACTTATATGCCACGCAGGTTAATCTCACACTGGAGTCAGGCAGGTTGTTAGGAAAAGAGATTCATTTTAAGGGATGAATCTTCTCTACCTGTCAAGCAGTTTTGAACACAAATGAGCTCAGATGCTGAATTCCTCTCCCAAGTGAGGGTCTCACAGGCCTAAGAACTGCTAATGATGATTCTCCAAGCAAGAGGCCTTACAGGATTCAGGAACATCAAGGTGATTCTAGCACTTTTCAAAAACATGAGTTAGAAAACCTAGGATATCCTCAGTCATCTTTTGACCCCTAAATAAGGGTCAAGTAAGTCCTTTAATGGTCACTCCAAACCTTTAGGAGGGAGATGATCATATTCTTCATTCACTTAGTAGGCATAAGCAATTACTAGCTGTGTGACTTACACGTGCTATAAGACCTCAAGGCCTATGTTGGCTCATGAGCAAAACAGGGGTGTCTTATCTAGCTGGCCTGCGAGGGGACAAGGGGTGGATCAGATGATCTTCTGAGAACATTTCAAGCTCTAAACTAAAAATGAAGGCAAAAGGGAAGACTGGGGAAGAAGGCACTTTTCAACCATCTGCTCAACAAAAGCCAGAGTCCTCCTTGCTTTGTTAATTCTTGCAGCAAATTCCTTCAGTAGTGGCAAAGTCAAGCAGTTCACCTGGAGGGCTGCTCTGCTCCTCACAGAGCTGCAACCAAGCCAAATACTAAAGAGTTAATTCAGATAGTATGTAATAATATAGAGGAATAAACATAATAAGAAAAGTTAGTTGTTTCAGTAGTACCAGAAGAGATTTTTTAACTACGCCAGGAGAGTGGTATTATCAACCCATTCTTGACTATAAGTCTCATTAATGAAGAACTGTGGAAAAGAAGACACGCACTCATGGCAAAATACATATTGCTATCCACCTTTAGATCAGAACATTTACACACAGTATGTTTAATATTAAAATTAAAGATTTCTGATAAATGCATGTTTACAGGACCAAATTAGCTATTGTTTATGGTAAAGCCTTTTTAAATAGAATTTCATGCTATTTAAATCTTAGTCTTCTGTCCCCTACTCTTTCTCTCCCTAGCTGCTCTCTTTTTCTTTCTAACACTGAAATGTGGGGGAGAAAAATGAAAAGTGCACATCAGAAGACAGCCACTTGCTGCTTTGGTTTTATTTTTTATTTTCTCGTTTCTTTTTACTTTCTATTTTTGGCTTTTAAAACAAGCCTCTCTCCTCCACCCACTCCCACTCTCTTTGCAGAGAGCAGACTTCAAACTTCACTTCTGCTTCTAGGTCCTAAAGAGAAACAAGAAGGTGGGAGCGGGGTGGGGGGCGGTAACGGAAAAGAGATCAATCGAGTTACTGCAAAATGCAAATTAACAGGTTTGCTCATTTCAGAACTCCCACATTCTGCCAATTTGAAGATATCTTTTCGCCCCCTCTTCTGAATGACTTAGCTCCCTAGACTCCCACGGAATTCAAGCCACAAAGAAGGTATTACACTGCTTACAATTCTTATCTGCCTCTCTGAAGCGCTGCGCCAGCCTCTGGAAAGGTTCCTTCTGCAGGTTAATTGCAGCTTGGAGTTCCCAGAAAAGCATTTTCTTTTAAGGATGATCGCTCATCCACCGTCCCGGAACATTTCTCGGGCTCCTCTTTAAAGTGTAATCTCCTCGAGCCAGCTCCCTGGAGATGGTGAAACCCTCCTCTCCGCGGCGTGGACGCGGGGTGCCTTTCTCCGTGCCTGGAGAGCCCGGGGTTCAGCAGGGGCCCCGGCGCCCCCCAGGCTGTCTCTCTCTACTGCTGCGAAAAGTGAGCGCGGTCACAGAGTGCTCCTCAGTCCTCGTGGTCACGCGACCCTTGGCCCACGAGGTCTGCAACACTTCCTGCGTTACCTGATAATCCTCCACCCGCACCAGCACGTATTTGGGTGGGTCTGCTGGGTCCCGCGGCGGGGCTACACGCCTGCCAGAAATTCGCTGTTCTCGTTGAAAGACATGAGAAGAGCAGCTGGGCTCCTGGCCCTGGTCCTCTCCCCCGGCCATCGCTTCCCGTGCAGGGTCCCCCTGAGTCCCTAACCACCTCTCTGGGTGCAGGAGAAAGAGCACTTTCTCTCTGACCCAGGACTCACGGTCCAATTCCTCTCCGGCCCGAGGTCCGAGGGCCCGACCTGCCGACCTGTCCTCGTGCCCGCCGCCCAGGCTTTGGCTCTTCCCTGCCGTCCCGGGATTCGGGGCGCCGGGAGCCAGCGGAGTCCCGCGCTCCCCCTCGCGCGGGAAAGGCCTGGGGGAGGAGTCCGTGGGATTCGCAGCTCCCTGAGGCCCCCGGGTCCCCATCCTGGCAAAAGAATTCGTTCTTTCTTTGACCGGTTCAGGCAGCGAGCGCCTGCTAGGCTCCGGGAAGCGCGGGATCAGCCACCCCTGGGTGTGGACTCCGCGGCCGCCCCGGACTCCCTGCCCGCGAGAGCAGGAGATTGGATCAGCCCCAGGCCAATCGCGCGCGGACCCCGCCTCCCCGCGCTCCGCCTCGCCCACCTGGCGGCAGTCTGGCCCTTCAAAGTGGAAGCCGACACAAGCCCCAGCCACCTCTCCTTCCTCCTACCCCTGTCCCGAGCCCTGCTCCCTTTCTTGTTCGCTGATTCAGTCCCCTCTTCTCACCTCTGCCCTAGTTTCCCACCCTGCTTTCGTTTTCATCCGGAGCTGAGGCGCAAAGGACACCCTCGCACTGCGCCCCCCTGAAAAGCCCCGAAGGATGTTTGCTTTCCAAGGACACTCCTGGAGGTGAAGGAACGCGGAAGTTTGTTGACATTTTAATTATCTGATCTAATTCTAAAAACGGTTTTGTGTCCGCTCCGAATCCACTCCCACCGTGCTGCCAAAGTGATGGAATGTAGATCAAAGGGTCAGACTGAAAAGCTGAATGAAGCCTTGGAGAAATTGGTTTTTTTTGTTTTTGTTTTTTTTTTTTTTTTTGGTTTTTTGTCCTTATTCCTTTGGAATGCCAGGATCTGGAAGACATCTGGAGATCTGTCTCCCCCTCCCTCTCCCCCTCCTCCTCCTTCTCCTTCTCCTCTTCCTTTTCTCCCTTCCCCTCTCAGTCCCTTAAGTAGCCGGGACTGTATACAGTCTCTTACCCCCATGTCCGGCTTTTCTTTATGTTTTTATTTTCTAGAGGTGGTGGAGGTGGGGCTCTCCCATATTGCTCAGTCTGGTCTCGAACTCCTGGGCTTATGAGATCCCCAGGATCCCCACCTCACCCCCACACCCGCCTGGGCCTTCCAAAATTCTGGCATTACAGGCTTGAGCCACCGCCCTGGCCAGTCTTCATTTCGTTTGAAATGAACGCTTGTCTCAGGAAGATGTAGTCTTTGATTTAAATCAAGCTATAAAAACAAACAAACAAACAAACAAAAAAAAAAAACAAAAGCAAAACAAACATCCAAATGAATTTTTTTTCAGGACTTAAAATTGTTTGTGTTTGTGTCGTTTATAAAATCCCCTCTGCACCCGCCCGTCCTCTTTAACCACAGGGGTTCTGTATCTCTGGAGTGGCTTTCAGAATTTCATAGGCAGGCGGGCTGGACACACTACTCTGCCTAAGGGTAAGGGAGGTGGGGGGAGGGAGGCTAGGTCATAGAAAAAGAGCTAAGTTTGTGGTTTCCAGTTCATCCTTAGTAGCAGCTGCTTGTTTTATTTAAAAAACAAACAACAACAACAACAACAACAACAACAAAAAAAAAAAAAAAAAAAAAAAAAAAAAACACTGTTGGCTGAGTATGATGGTTTATGCCTGTAGTCCTAGCGCTTTGGGAGTCTGAGGTGGGTGGATCACTTGAGGCCGGGAGTTCGAGACCATCCTGGTCAACATAGTGAAACTCCATCTCTACAAAAAGCACAAAAATTAGTTGGGTATGGTGGTGCATACCTGTATTCCCAGCTACTTAGGAGGCTGAGGCACCAAAATCACTTGAACCTGAGAGGGGAAGGTTGCAGTGAGCCAAGATCACACCACTGCACTCCAGCCTGGGCGTTACAGCAAGAATCTGTCAAAAAGGAAAAGAAAAGAAAAAAAGAAAGAGAAAGAAAGAGAAAGGAAGGAAGGAAGGAAGGAAAAATCTAAATCCTGTCTGATTTAGAAAAATGAATGCAATGGTGAAAAATTCTGCTCATATATAAAAAACAAAGTAGAACCGTGAAATATTTGGAAAGGAAGGACTATTTGATGTCTGCCAAATCATATAAAGAAATAAAATGATAGAGGAGGAGTGTGAAAATCTGGGTCAGATCTGGCTGTTTAGAAGCCTAACCTTAGTGGGCACAGTGGTGCCTTCTGGTAATCCCAGCTGCTTGGGAGGTTGAGGTGGGAGGATCCCCTGAGCCTAGGAGCTGGAACCTGGCCTGCACCATATGAGACTCCTGTCTCTTAAAACAAAAACATAAAAACAAAAACAAAAAATATACATGCCTGACCTTGGGCTGGGTACTGCTCAGTCACAATTAACTAAAATTTTTGAGTGTTTTAGCCAAGAACTGTTCTAAGCACTCTGTATTTAAACACATTTATTCTTCACAACAAACTGTGGAAGTAGTACTATTTCTTTGGTCTTCTTGAAATCTTTGAAGCACAAAGAGGTTAAGTGTGTGCCCAAGGTCAAACACCAATAAACAGTGGAGGCAAGATTCTAATTTATTTAAATGCTTGCTCCAAAATGACATCTAAATTACCTTCATATTTTAAGCCTATGACTTCATCTTCTTTTCTGTTAATTTACATAACCACCAATTACTAACTATATGCTACTCTTCTAGGTGATAGGCATCTGGAGGAACAAGCCAAATTCTTTATTCTCTTAGAGGTTTTTTTTTTTTTTTTTTTTTGAGACCAAGTCTTGCTCTTGTCACCCAGGCTGGAGTTCAATGGCACAATCTCAGCTCACTGCAACCTCGGCCTCCCGGGTTCAAGAGATTCTCCTGCCTCAGTCTTCCAAGTAGCGAAATTATAGGCACCCAAACCACGCTTGGCTAATTTTTGTATTTTTAGTAGAGATAGGGTTTCACCATTTTGGCCAGGCTGGTCTTGAACTCCTGACCTCATGATCTGCCTGTTTCAGCCTCCTAAAGCGTTAGGATTACAACATGAGTCACCACGCCCAGGCTTTTTTTTTTCTCCTTCCTTCTTTCTTTCTTTCTTTCTTTTTTTTTTTTTTTAAAGACAGAGTTTTACTCTTGTCACCCAGGCTGGAGTGAAATGGCACGATCTCGGCTCACAGCAACATTTACCTCCCAGGTTCAAGCAGTTCTCCTGCCTCAGCCTCCTGAGTAGCTGGGATTACAGGGGACTGCCATTATGCCCAGCTAATTTTTGTATTTTTTGTAGAGACAGGGTTTTACCATGTTGACCAGGCTCATCTCCATCTCCTGACCTCAAATGAGCAGCCCGCCTTGGCCTCCCAAAGTACTGAGATTACAGGTATGAGCCACCACACCTGGCTTAAAGTTTTTATTCTTATATATGCAGTAACATATATCAATCCTCTGTCCCGCTCTAGGAGATTATCCATTAACTTTAATTTACATGAAGATCACCTGCAGTTCAATGTCCTATTCTACTTACAAAGATTCTGTTCTTATAGGTTTGGGGTAGGGATTAGGATATAGATTTTTAGCAAGGCCCTCTGTAATTCTAAACCTAGTGGTCTGTGAACATTATGAAAAACATTTCCAAAAATATGTATAGATAGACCTTATCACTTTTTTGCTTACTTATAGTGGAAACAAGAATACTATATTTTCTTTCTGTGAAGAATATTGTGAGAACTCTAATAAAGTGTCTGCACTCCAGCCTGGGTGACAGAGTGAGACTCTGTCTCAAAAAAAAAAAAAAAAAAAAAAAAAGATAATAAAGCTTCTTTGCATAAATAAGCTTATTAATTGGTTGTTAAATATGCATCCATCCTATATAACTATGTTATTCTTGCCAAGTAAATGCAAAAATTTCTGTAACAGGTTGGGGGAACAAAACTGTTACTAAGGGAAATGTAAACCACAACATTTATTTGCTTTCAAATGTCTTTTTTGCCATTGAGGATTGTATGAGGTACGAGAATGGAGTATGAGAAAGGAAAAATTATTTGCTGAAGAATGAAGCAGACTAATTCATCATATTGCACTTGAATTTCTAGATATCAAGAAGTTATGTATTAATGCATGAAAGGACATGAAGGGGAAATGCTAAATAAATCAATCTCCAAAAAGGTAAAATCTAAACACAATATTAACCAGAGAAACAGGTAGCTTTGCCTCTAGGAAAGTGGTGTCTGCTGTGCTTCAATATCTCAAATCTCAAAGTGCCTAAAAGACTGATAGAGGATGCTAAAGTAAACCCATTTACTTCCTCTCTGAAGTGCCCATAATAACTGCAAATATGCAGGCTGGTGAGGGGTAATAAAACAATTTATATTCCCGGGGTCTATAAAGTTATTGGGGATCATCAACACATGCTCTGCAGGTAGGGTCAAAAGAAGAAGACTTTAATTGATAGCCCAGTCTCCCAAAGAGCAGTCCCACTCATTTTGCCTATTAGAACTAGAAGTTATTTTTACATACTTATGACACTCTCAGTTACTTGAGCAATTCTGCCTTTTGAAGACTTACCCTCCACTTGCAGAACTCTGCCTTTAACTTAGACCTGTAGCAATATTTCATAGCTTTTTTTTCCTATCAGATATAACATTCTTGAATGGCAAACTGGCCTATTCAACAGTTTTTCATTTCAGGCAGCCAGGCCTTGGTGATCCCAACTGAACATTATCAAAACTCGGAATAGAAGCATCGTTTATATAAAGCCACTCTGTGACCATGTTTGGAACAAGACAGACAAGACCACTAAAAACCACAAAGAAGTTTAAACCTCCCCCGCTTAACAGCTAACAGAAATGACTATCAGTCTTTTACTAATGATACTTCTGGTCTACATCTACTTTAATCCTCATCTTTCCTAGATAAAAATTACCAAGGTACCCTATCACTGAGTTCATCCCACTTCTTGACAACATCTAATGCAGCACTGGCTCCTGCTTCCTTAAATCTTATTTAGGACTATGATCTCTAGTCCAAATCCTATACAAAGCCCCTCCCAACTCCACTTACTGAATTATCCCATAATTACTCAAGGGTGCATTCTTACCTGCTGAAATAAGAAAAATAAATGTAATTTATTTTTCTTTAGTACAGGAGTGTTCTTGCTGGTCTTTGTTTACCAAAATTTAAAACTTGTCAATGTAGAAAGCATATAATGTTGTACTCCCAAATGAAGTAGGCATATACACTGGGGGTAGAAAGTGACGGGGACCAATTGGAGTCATAATGGATTTGTAGTTGCTTGGTTATAATCAGCTTGAAGTGGCTCTAGCATTAAGAAATGCAGCAATGCATCAACTGAATAAATATATCAATCAAATAAAACAATAAATTAATAGAATATTACTTTTAA